AGGTGAACAGTGAGGGTCCTGTAAACAGGGAAGGGGGCAGAGGGGCTCTCCTGGCTGCAGGTGGGGGAAAATGGGCCACAGGTAAGGGTGGGGGGAGGCAGGGAGCAAACAAGCCCAGCCCTGCTCCCTGCCTGGGAAATGGAAAGGGCACAGATTTTTGGCAGGGGTGGCTCAGGCATCCCACAAAGAGGCTGAGGTGATGCTGCTAATTATAAGCCAGGAGAGCAGAGCTGCAAGAGTCAGGGCGAAGGTATGCCGGGCACGACGTCAGCGGTGCCTCTCCTCGTGGATGAGTAACAAGAATGAGCTGGAACGGGCTGGAAAGAGCTGAGCTCTTCTCCCGAGGGTGACGTAATTTTCGAGACGAGGCCACGCCCCTAGGGAAACGGGAATAAAAGGCTCCGCCGGCAGCAGCGGGGCAGAACGCTTCCAATCCACTGGAGAGGGAAAAGAAGCAGCAGCAACAGCAGCAACAACAACAACAACAACAGCAGCAGCGATGCTTTGCCGGATGCACCTCGCACCATTCGCCTCCAGCTCCCTGGCCAGCCGTCTGGGAACGGTGAGGACCCTCTGGCCACACGCAGAGACCATCTTCACTGAGCTGCAGCAGGAGATGGAGAAAGCCCGGGAGTTCATGAGCAGCTTCGAGCAGCTCCTGAGCAACCACGGAGCCATCGCGGCGGAGCGCGCCCCGAGCACCAGCACCACCCTGACCCAGAGCTCCGGGGAAGGCTTCTCCGTCTGCCAGGACGTGAAGAACTTCGCTCCCGAGCAGCTGTCGGTGAAGGTGGTGGGCAGGAAGGTGGTGCTGGTGGGGCAGAAGGAGACGCAGAACGTCGACGAGAAGGGCTCCTTCTCCTACAAGTACGAGGTGCTGAAGCGGGAGTGGGACGTGCCCGAGGAGGTGGACGCCGAGGCGCTGACCTGCTCCCTGTCCAAGGACGGGCAGCTCCGCATCGAGGCCCCCAAACTGGCACTGCCGGTTGCTCCGGAGAGGAACGTGCCCATCCAGGTCAGCCCTGTGGCCCCACAGCCTGGACCAGCCTCTGAGGACGGAGCTGCCAACAAAGCCCAGGTGTAACAGGATGGGACCCCATGGCCACGGCGGGACCGGAGCAGACAGGAGCAAGTCTCGGGTTTAAGCCCAGACAAGCTCCATCAGCAATGATGTCATTTTTTTTTCACTATACTGGAATGTTTTTGTATCCAATAAAAATACTTTTGCATAGAACCTTCATGTGCTCTCTGGGTGTTAATTGATGGGGAAGCTGTACCTTGCTCTTGTCTCTGGATGCCAGAGAGGGAAAAACCTCTCTTGCTCCTCAGGGCAGCACAAAAGGGGGTCGACAGCAGGCCCAGAGGGAGGGAAGGGATCTGGGAGCTCTGTGCTGCTTGGGGAGGGGGGTAGGTAAGAAGGTCCCAGGCAGGGAGGGCAGCCCCACTCACCTGTACCACACTCACCCCTTCCTTACACTACTGTCAGCAGGGACAGCAGGGAGAGAACCACACTGGAGGGCCTGTCTCGGTGTGGGTACAGCTATTTTATCCACACTTTTCCCCCCCCCCAGCTTGGTGAGGGGCTGCTGGAGCTCCCCTGAGCTCTCAGTAGCAGGGAGGGAAAAGCCCAACCCCAGGCAGGGTGTGTAACCACCACAAACGCCCGCGCTCAGGCCCGGGCAGGCAGCAGGTATGTGGGCAGGCACACCTGTTTGTGCTAAAGCTGCTCCCACATCAGATAGCCCATTCCAGAGACACACCAGGAACAGCAGCGGGTCCCCAGCCCCAATACTGAGCCCCTGAGCACCTGCTCCTGCTCCAGTGAAGACCCTCCTTAGGGCAGTGCCAGCATCTTCACAGAGACTAGACCTTAAGTCCTGGAAGGAGGCAGGGAGAGGAGCCAGCAGATGGCAACAGCACTGCAGTGTCTGTAGGATTGTTCCAAGTGGGATCAGGGAAGCCACTGTCCTACAGGTCCATCTGTGGCTGCCTGGGGAAACCAGCAGCACCAGAGCCCCCTCAACCCGTAAGCACCAAAAGCTCAGGGATCCCCCAGAGTTTGTGAGCTCCTCCAGCAGCTGAGCAGCACAGGCACAAGCAGCACCAGGTGAGTGAATCCCACCGGGTGGGCGACCAGAGCCCCCATCCTGCAGGCAGCCAGACTCCAGCAGAGTGCTGGGAACTCAGTCAACAAGTCATTCTTGACCCTTCCTGCTTCCAGGATTTCAAGAAAACGCAGCATGAGGAAGAGGCACTAAGACCTTGGATAAAGGATGAAGCCCACACGAGCCAGGGCTGTTCTCACAGCTCTATTCAAGCTCTCTTGCAGCTGAGCAGCAGCAACCCCAGAGCTGAGGCAGGGTGGGCAGCAGGTTCCAGGTGCAGCACATCTCCATCCTCAGCTTCTCCCAGCAGCACACGTGGTAGGGGTGGAGGTGCAAGGGGCTGCTCCATCTTCCATATTGACTGCAGGTCAGCCACGGGTGTCAGGGTCTCACAGTCTGTGCAGCAACAACAGCAGAGCAGCATCTTCCAAGGCCATAACACTCCAGGGACAGAGGCACTGCGTTCATTAATTCCAGAGCAGCATTCCCAAGCCTGGCCCACCATGGAGCTGAGCTCCTCCACGCACTGCTCCCCCTACCTCTTCCCAGCTTGCACTGCAGAGTTTCCCCAGAAGTATCAGGCAAGGAATAATTCCCACTATTTGCCTTAAAGCTTCCTGGAGCACACTGAAGCTGAGTGAACACCAGCAGCATCACTGTGAGCAGGAGCAGCAGCACAGCCCCAGCTCAGGAGCTCCATTTCTCCCTCCCCGGGAAGGAAAGGCCCCATTTCCCTGCCAAGATGTGGGACATACCAGGAACAGCCCAGCACACCTCAGCCTCCAGCAGAACTGTTGTGCTCAGATCCAGTCCCTGCTGCATTAAGAAACATGAACATTGTTGTTATGATAGGTTTATAAAAATTTTGTTTTAATCACACAAAACTGAAGTTTGTGGTGAAGACTAAGTTGACAGTTCCTCTTAAATACCAGGATGCATAAGACACTGCATTAGGCACTAGGCAGCAGCCAACATCAGTTAGAGTCTGGCAACAGAAGCCATTTAATACCTCCCTTCATTCTTTGTGGAATTACAGGCTTTTGCAATACACGTCGTTCCCACTGACAGGTTACCCGAGGTTTTCCCCCACCCCACCTCTGTACATCAGTAAACTTTGTGTATTCCCACCAGAGCAGGGTTAACAACATTAGTGGCATCACAACCATCAAGAAAAGGACAATTTTCTATACAAGATCTTTTGCAAAAATTGCAACAGGATTAGTGCATTACGACAGAACCGAGAGAAAAGAAGAGTTGGCATGCTGGAGTCCAACACAAAGAAAGACAACAGGCAGCTCGTTGGAT